AAGGACGCGGGAACGGTGAAGGAGTCAGCGCACTTGGAATGTTTAACAATTGTTTAACAAGCGGCTCAGCACCAACTCTGCGGGGGGAGGTTTAGGGGAATAGCATGAAAACCACCATGAAACAACAAAACCGCGAAGGGAGAACCATTGGAGTCGGTGTGTTTGTGCAGGTGCGTTTACACCCCTCACCAGTGGCCTCTTCGGTGGCCACCCACCACGGGTGAGAGGAATTGACCCCTGCACATGAACAGCCCTTAGAAACAGGGTTTGACACACGCACACAATTTCGGTTCACATCAAGATATTCCTTCGGAGTCCATGCTGAAAGTCGAGTTGGCACGAGGATAGCGAGTCTTTTGAGCACGAAGGCATCAAATTGAATGTGTTACAATACCGCCCAGCCTGTCCAGGATCAACCTCTGGTCACTCTCAGACAGCCAGCCCGTGAATGTGCTGGAGGGTCACGAGGTGCTATTACAGAGACATGAAAGTGGCTGAAAATATTTTGACCTCAGTTGGGTAAAGTTAAACTGTTCCAACGCAAGTTGGGGTTACCTATTCAAGTGTTTGGACAGTTTAGGCTCTAAACAAAAGCCCAAAGCTACCTACTACCTACCGTAAGGACTTAGAAAGACAACAGGGTACAGACCACATTTCACAAGGCAGTGGGAGATGGAGGTCCCTCAACGTAAAACCCATATGTCATACTTCCAGAGACTGCAGAGGTTCCCAAAACGATTGCAAGTTGTGTTGCAGGAACTTTGAGGATGAGTTGAAACAGAATCACATCGATATGCTGACTTCATGTTGACACTGAAGGGATCATTGAGAATAACTCCTGAGTAACATTCTGGCCCGGTGAGTCACACCCCGTACAGCTTTTGTGGCCCCAGGACCGCGTCAACAGAATTGCGCGCATCCCTAAGCTGGTCCACGACCGACCTTTTTTGGGGAGTGGAGAGTGTGGATGATGGGGTATCAGTAGTGTTTTTGTTTCTTGACAGTTTCCTTCTGGAAAATGATAAGCCTTTTGTAGAGTCTACAATGTGTTTGACTACTTTAGTGATTTCTAGGAGGCTCGTGTCACATGCTGCCAAATTCCGATGCCCTTCTGACATCTATAAGTACGGATGATTTGAGAAGATGAGACAGCTGGGTTTGAGTGATTGGAAACCTTTCGCCGACTTCGTGCGGCCATCTCTGCGCCTTTCAGAGCCGACCTTGAAATGATTTTCCTGAAGTACTGAGGTTTCATCCCATGGGTGAGCACTTGATCTCCACATCTCATGCAGCTTGGCGCTGGAAGGGCTCTTGACGAAGCAGCCATCCGGCTTGGTGCACCGCGTTTCTGTTCTTGCAGCCGTGTCACAGCTAGACCTGCACTGGGTTAGGCTTGATTTTCCATGATGATCAAGCCAGCTCATAGTCATAGGTCATGTCATGTGTAATCATGTAGTACATGTGTACGACTTGTAGAAACATATTCCCAATGTAACATATATATATATATATTATATATACAGTAAATTAAAGTGATGGGATACTGTGGAGGCCATATACTAAACAATCTCAGCCTTACTCAGTCAGGTATTAGGCAAGCTACATCGCCGAATATCCTTGTCACATTGATTTTGGCAAAGACCAACATGAGCTACGTTCATGCTTGGCATATTATTTATCTATGGAGTCTGTGGCTTACCAGATGGACCAGATATCTTGAAATCATGGAATGACTGGACGAAGAACTTAATGGCAGCCTGAAGACATCATCAATAGCTCGGCTGGGTGGTCCTTGGCACAATCTTAAGGACATGAGTTGGCGGCTTTGGGATGTGAACACTACCACGGAGCTTTTGCTGCAGGACGGCACATGACAACCTACAAGTTGAGCATGGACAAGTGAACAAGCATCTCTAGGTTTGTGAGACCTACTGGTGAGGTGGGGTCCAGCTCTTCGAAATAAAAACAACAGTATAACAGGATAACAAAAGAGAAAGTCCTGTAGCACAAAGAAGAAAAAACATCAACGATATGGTGCAATATTCAGGCTGTCGCCTGATCAGGAGAAAGCATTTGGGAATTTGGGACTTTGGGATCTTACTCCGAGTGTGTGTGTGTGTGTAACCCTTGGATCCAGAGAGAGGGAGCCTTTAGGCTTTTCTTTTTCTTTTCAGCAGGGAATCACCCACGGACTTTACTGGTGATCCAACGAAGAGGGTCAAGTTCCACGCTGATATCTGGCCTGATCAACCAGACCTCCTTGCAATTCAGTGTGTGGTGTTTGTAATCATGCTCCACTTCCGGAGTCTTGGAGGTTTCAGGTTGAAGAGGTCGTGCTGCGGTAAAGGGCTAACGCACTTCGCGACGCTTGACCTTTCGGCTTTGGTTTCCAGATCCTTTGAAGCTTTGGAAGTTAACATTGAAGGCTTCATGATGATTGGACCACCTTGCATATCCCTGGTGTTACTTAGGCTTTCTTTTAACTAGGGTTTCTTTTACCTATCCCGAGTGTGTGCGTTGTGCGTTGCACACATGATTCAATGGATTCCAAGTAAATTCAACATTTGCCGTTTGACCCTGCAGGAAGGCCACTCAAGGCCTGTCTATGGGGTTTCGGTGCACCCCGACGGCTCATTGGTAGCCACTTCTGACTTGGGCGGCGTCGTGCGGGCAGGGGGTCTCAGCAGTTAAATGGTGCGCAAGCAATGTTGGGATTCGGGACTTAGCAAGCCCGTCACAGAAACATGGAACCGCTATGAGTTGCGTAAGCCACAAGCCGAACTGGAGACACCCGGAAACTGATGAAGCGGAACCGCGGTGGACGCATGTAGACACCACAAGTGAGGTGTGGGACCTCCGCAGCGGCAAGACTGTGATGCCTCTGGCAGCCCACGGGAAGCAGGCAGAGAATGATTCGGTGCAAGTTGCAAGCATCCCCGGGACTCATTCGGTCAAGGAGTCAAGCCGTCAAGGGGGTGGAAATCCAACGGGCAGCCTCAACATGTAATTGGGAGTGCTGCTGTTTCTCCTGCGGTTTTTTTGGGTGCCATAGCTTCATTTTTGAATGAGGGAAACCATGACACACGTTTGATGCGCCAACAACCAAAGGGATGTTTTTGCTGTTGGTGTTTGTCGGCAAGACATAGACACACATTGGCCGCACATCTACAAGCAGAAGTGGATGCAGGTCCGTTCAAAAAGATTATTACATGATATATGTTCTGACATGGGTTGCTATTTTCTCCCGTGCAGCATTTGTTGTTGTCGCGGTTGCAGTTCAGTACCATAACATCAGTCAGAAAGTATACTTTTCTATTGTTTCTCCTGTTGCCCTCGCCCTTTGTCATAGATTCATTCACAAGCTACTGTCAAGAGTCTAGAGTATTTCAATGCATTTCAGCTGAATTGGCCACAAGCAGGATGATAGATTGCAAGCTTGACTGTATGCGCAAAGCACATCCGTCCTGGCAAGGTCATGGCTGTCGACTTTCACCCACGGGGGACTGTCCTTGCCACAGCCAGCGATGACCACAGCGTCCGCATTTGGGACCTTCGCAAGCGAAGGCCAACGAGAGATTGTCCATGATTGTCCCGTAAAAGATGCAATGTTTTCTTTTGAGTTTGTCCCACTTTCGTACGAAATGCGCTTGCATTTTCAAAAATTGGCTCGGCTTACGCCCGGCCCAGCTTGCATGAGACATCAATCATGGGAGGTGTACGCACAACCTTTTGCTCCACAACAAGCTCATCTCTGAGGCTATTGCCGTCAGTCTCGAAGATTCCTTTTCACAGAGCAGCTATACTGCTACACATTGTGACACACAGGGGCAATGGGGAAGGTGCTGTGAGTAAGCTGCGGCCGCCCGCGTTAACAGAGTGCACGAACACTTCGCCAGTCTTGTAGAAGTCAGAGCTGCAATTCTCTTGATTTCTCTTGCGTGGGAACAGAAAGCATTGTTACAGGGCCACTTTGTTTGCTAGATGGTGCAAGCCGCAAGCGCCCACGATTTGTAGCATCCTGCTTGAGAAACGCTGCTAGGGACTCCAGTCATACCTGTTAGCAGCAGTAGTTTCCACATTCTCGACCTCTAAAGCCTTTGTTTGCATCAGGTGAGCTTCGAGAAAGGTGAAGGACGCTTAATGTTGACATCAAGTTACGATGGTGGCTTGGCTTCAGATTGTACTTTTGGGGACCATGGCTGGTGGTGGCACTACCCGCACAATACATGATTGGGCGTGCAGTATGATCGATTGCTCCTTCGCAAAATTTGAGTTTTTTCACATTTACAGTATTCCTGTCAACAACCATTTCGGACTGGCTCCGCAACCTGGTTTCCTACTCGCTCAGTGGCTCAGTAGGACACGAGGTGGCATGGTACCGGAGTTTTGTCGCTACAGGTTCTTGAACGAGGTCCATGTCCGCCAGATCTCTCTTAGGCACCGTGAAAATTTGCTCCACAACTGACTGGAAGGTTGTGAAGGCAGGTCGACCGTTCGCTGACATTCGTGGACAGTAGAGCCTATGGGGCTCATTGTCCTGTACAGGTTCAAACATGTTCAAGCATATTTAAGCTGTCATTGGCTAATGGCTAATAATGTTTAAGTTTGTTTAAGGATCCTTGAAACTTGAGAGTCTTGAGTCTTCACTTCAGGTGCCCTTTTTCTGAAAGCCAACCAGCCCTCAAGATATTACTTCTCGAATTTAGGACTTCACAACAATAGACAATATATTAATGTATATATATATAGGGGATTGGAGGACATGGCATGGGGTTCTGCGCGCTTGCAGATACGTAGCATTAGTCCTTTGCACTAAGCTAGTTGGGAAGCATCAGCATTGATGAGCATGAAGACCGTCAGAGTTTGTTGGACACTTTACAAGGTACCATTGATGAGTGACTTGGACCAAAACATGGTATATAAAGGAGCCTAACCTTCTCCAATTGAAAGCCCTGGGCACTCCAATCAAGCAGGTCCTCATCGGGCACGAGGGCCGTGTGATGGGTGCAGACCACATCCCAGCAGCTGTGGGTGGCAACTTGCTTGCTTATTCTAATGCAGATTCCAAGCTTTAGGTTGTACCAATCGATCAAACCTAATTGAGCATATTGTGATTGATTGGACTTTCAAGTGTTTGTTGATTGAGCTTGAAACAGTGTTTTGTTTTTCCCTACAATAAGTACAAACGAACATATATTCTGAAAAAAAATCCTAGAATATCAAAGCATATGCAGGCTGTCCACCGACATCCTGGATCATTTTCACCGCACTAGTTCTACTAGGTCGGTTGGTTCGCATAGTCACTTGTGATTAGCACCAACAAGGCTACTGTCGCTTGTGTCAAAACTTGTGGAAAAGAGTTGCTCTGTTTGTTTGCATCAATTAAGGGCTTACGCCCGACAGCCGGCCAGGGGCCCAAGCAAAGGGTTGTTGTTGTTGTAGTCGTTGTTGTAGCAAAGGGTTGGTGTGGTTGTTGTTGTTGTTGTTGTTGTTGCTGTGGTTGTTGTTGTTGTTGTTGTGGTTGTTGTGGTTGTTGTTGTTGTTGTTGTTGTTGTTGTTGTTGTGGTTGTGGTTGTGGTTGTGGTTGTGGTTGTGGTTGTGGTTGTGTTGTTGTTGTGGTTGGTGTTGTTGTTGTTGTTGTTGTTGTTGTTGGCGTTCTTGTGGTTGTGGTGGTTGTGGTTGTGGTTGCGGTTGTTGTGGTTGCGGTTGTGGTCGTTGTGGTGGTGGGGGTTGTGGTGGTGGTTGTCGTTGTGGTTGTTGTTGTGGTGGTGGTGGTAGTGGAGATGGTGGTGGTGGGGGCGGTGGAAAAAGAGAAAAAAGGCCAAGCATAGGTGAGCTTGGTCGCCTCCGACGGGACATATGAGTGAGGAGGTCATTGTCGACATGCGTGTCGTATTTTGTGCGGTGAGCTTGCTCGCCTTGAACGAGGCAACGCCCATGTACCAGCACATGACTGAGGTCACAAAAGAGTCCTGTTCAAAGAAAGGTGAGCTAGGTCGTCTCAGAACGGTGATGAGTGACGCGGTCACCGTTGACACGCGTTGCAGATTTTTTTCGGTGAGCTGGCTCGCCTTGAATATACTAGATTTAGAGGGGGAGCTGATGGTCCTAAGCTTGACGTCTTTCTGTTCCGGCTACGCTTAGTGCAAAAGTACTTATGCCAAGGCACGACGACGATGGTCGCGCAACGGTGGTTGGAGCAAGCCCCGGACGGTCGTTTCCCCGAGGTTCGACTGACGGGCACGCTAGCGAGGGCCTACCGAAGCAAAACAGTGCCGCAGCTCATGCGAGTGCAATCGTCGGCAAGGTCAATAGCAGCTTCAATAGCAATGGGACAGCAACTCAGTATTTGTAACGCCCGGCAGGAAGTAGCGTCGACTGTTCGCCTGGCCGCGATAGGGACGGACCACCCGGAGCTTCGCTCATGGGTACGTTGGGGCTTAGTCCAAGCGGGTCCAACTCCAAACGGCCGGAGGCAAGTAGGCGGGAGACAAATGTGGTCGGAGTTGCGATCAAGCGTCACGCACGCATAGAACACAAAACACAAGGGAGGAAGCAGAGGCGCGTTGTCTGCAAAGTTACCACACTTCCTAAACTTGGATTTTGTCAGCGAGTCTTGTCCGACCTGTCGCAGGCACCTGTCAGGGAGCTTTCGTTCGGACACGTTAGTGTAGAGGGTTTCAACGTAAACCTGTCAGAGAGCCTTGGTCTCACACGGTGGGACCCGCGTGCGTGCACCGAAAGTGGACCAGGTGAATGCACCTGTCAGGGAGCTTTCGATCGGTCAACTTCATGGCAACAAGCAGCCCGCAACTGGTGGGCGCAAGTGTTTCGTTCTGGCCGCAGAGCACCAATTGCTACGCGACACCGACGCTCCGCGCAAGTTGCCGTTACGGGTCCGCCGAACTCCAATTCGGCACTCCCAGCAGCACTTGCCACACACAGACAAAACCCAGCCAAGCCTCTGGCGCCCGGCGCTGCGTGTGCGCCGGGTGGTCGGAAACGAGTCGGGGACACTGCATGACACAAGTCCCACTTTGTGGTCGTGGTGGAAATTGTGGTGGTAGCACTGGTGGGTAGCGTGGTGGCGTCGTTGTACGTTGTGGTTGTGGTGGAAATTGTGGTGGTGGCACGGGTGGGTAGCGTGGCGGAGTCGTGGTGTTGTGGTTGTGTTGTTGTTGTGGTTGCGCTAAGCCTCCTATGTTCAAGGGAGCATCAATGCCATGCTCTCGCCGGCCCGCGGTCTTTAGATCCTAGAGCCATTTCGAGCCTGCGCATTTTCGTCTTTGCTCAAGGCACTTTCGAATAGGTGTACCAGTTCTCTTGAACATACCCTGGTCCCAAGTCCAGGCTGGTAGGCCCATGCATAAGGTGTTTCTTGCCGTGCTAGCTGCACACCTTTCGTGGCCTCACCAGGGAGGTGAGGGTTGGGACTTGACCATGCAGGTCCCTGAATCCGCAGCATCGTTCACCAGACCCTACTCCAAGCATGCGGAAAAACTTCATGGAGCTCAGCCCCCATATAGACAGACCACCTCAAAGATACTGAAACGCAGCCTTCGCAGAGCACAGACTCGCGCCCAAGCCCATGGCTTTGCTTGGTATCGAGGACAGATGTACACCCCAGCCCAATTAGGACAACCTCCGCTACCACAAACCAAACAACCTCCACAACGACCTGTGGTCACCTCCAAGCCTAACCATAGATACAATAAACACAGAGTCAATTTTTTCACCTGGAACTGCAATGGGCTCTCACTTTCGAAGCAAGATGAGCTCCTGCATTGGCTCAACTTTCAACCGATTGGTGTTGCCTGCATTCAGGAGACTCATCGACATGCTGACCATGAATGGCAAGACCCAGAATGGACGTGCATTCAGGTCGGAACCCACGTGAAAAGTCCTGCTGGTTTGCTCACCCTGGTGAGGAAACGACTCTGCCCAAGCACTCACATCTCCTGGCACACGTACATTGCCGGACGCCTAACACATGTGAGGCTCTATATGGAAGGACATCACATTGACATCGTTGCTTGTTACCAATTTGCCTATCATACAGACCTGTCGGTCAAACAGGCTCGTAAGGACTTTTGGCAACAACTCACCACATGTCTTGGTAACCTCCCCAGACGTAATACCCTGGCCATCCTATAGGTGACCTCAATACGAGCCTCAGTCACATGCCTGGCCTTGTCGGCCTTTCCGACTTTCGTGATGGACCCAAGCTCAGAAAACGAGGACCCATGCATCAAGATGCGAGTGAACTCGAATTGATCCTTCGTACACATAATCTTGTTGCCCTGAACACCTGGGATCCATCCCACGGACCAACGTTCGAATCCCCGCTAGGCACCTCCAGAATCGACTACATCATCACTAGGGCCAAGCAGGTGGACAGCATTGCTAAACGTTGTTGTGCGCTGGATTCGTTTCCCTTGAATGCCCTGGCCGGCAGTCGACATCATCCCGTCCTGGGATCGATAAACCACAGATGGAACCGAGTCCAAATGTCCATGCCCAAGAATGCCACATATATGCAGCGCATTCGATGCACTGATGCATACCATGCAGATTCGTCGACATGGCAGTCTTTTCACCTCGACATGAGCAATCTTCTCGAGGCACAATCGGACCTGCCTGATGACACCAGTCTCATGCAGATGCACACGCAGGCACTTGATCTCTTCAAGAAGCATTTTGACACACCATCCACACGATCTGCACCTTGGGAACTGACCTGTCACAAAACGCAGGAGACATGGAACCTCCTGAAGCTCATCAAGCAAGAACATCGTACCGACCTCAGTTCTCTTTTCCGGACATGGGCCCGGATCACTGCTTTTCGTCAGGCCTGTCACCGGCACAAGAAAGCCTGCCATGAAGTGAGAAAAGCCAGAATTGATGCCATGCTGATGCAAGCGCGTGAGGCAGCAGATGTCCATAACAGTCATAAGCTATATCGACTGACTCGCACTCTTTCACCTAAGACCAAGAATAGAAAGACGTAGCTTAGATCTGAAACTGGCCTTCTCATGAATCCATATGAGGAATTCTGCTGCCTTTGGTAGCATGTTCGCACGACCTGGCATGGTATCTCGCACACATCGGCCCCCACCCGGTGTTCCTTTTGATGTTGACACGCTCACAAAAGCCATTCGTTCGATCCCATTCACCAAAGCCACTGCACCCCGTAGTGCACCGGCACCATGCTGGATCGTTGAACCGACACTGATAGCTGAGAAACTGTGGCTCAGTTTGCATACCTGGTGGAATAAGGTCCCCATATATATTCCCCAGTCCTGGAGGGACGCCACACTTTTCCTGATGCCAAAACCAGGAAAACCCTCGACACGCCCAAATCAGTTACGACCCTTAGCACTCCAAGACCCTTTGGGAAAAGCAGTACTTGGGATTGTTGCTAAAACTGCCAGGGACCAATGCCTCTACCAACTTTGCCGACGTCCGCAGTTTGCCTACCTACCCAAAAGGGGAGTACTCGACGCCATCAGCAGGGTTGTCAATCACTGCCGGCAAGTTAGGAAGTTGATCCATGATTTCTCCCTCACAAAAAGCAGAACTCCGAACAGAACTGTCCCACTCATTTTTGGAGGTGTACAAATAAGTCTCGACCTCTCCCAAGCCTTTGATTCTCTTCCCCGGCCGACCCTGTTTGACAGTCTTCACCGACTTGATATTCAGGACAGCCTACGAATCATCATGGAGCAATGGCACTTAAACACTAGATATCATGTACACCACAAAGGCTACAACGATGACATACCAACCACCACTGGAATCAGACAGGGGTGCCAGGCAGCCCCGCTGCTCTGGGCTTTTTTTGCCCATGACCTACTCGAGCACTTTTGCCAGGTCATCACAGATACCTGGGTGCAAGAGCATGTCACGATTTTCGCAGATGACATCCATGCTGGTGCTTCCTTTCGATCTCCGCAAGAACTGCAGCAAACCTTGGTTGCTTTCGGACAATTGTTGGATGTCATTGAACAAAAAGGACTCAGACTCAACGTTCAGAAGTCCTGTGCCTTGCTGATTATCAAGGGCCGACACTGCACCAGACAGTATCATGCCTTCACCAGATGCACCCGTGAGGGCCACTGTCTTGTGATCCCTAGTAGAGGAGGAAAAGAAATGCTCTTTCGAATACATGCACAAACTCAGTATCTTGGCATAATTTTGACATACACCAGTTGGGAAGACAAAACCCTGACGCATCGTCTACATGCATCCCGTGTGGCCTTCCATCGACTCAAGCAATGGTTGCAAGGTAAATCACGACTGACCTTGAAGCAGAAACTTCTTGTGTGGAAGAGCACTGTAGTCAGCACCCTCATGTTCGGACTTTTCACAGTAGGAATCACGCCCACTGGAATTGCTCGAATCACATCAACCTATATGAAGCAACTCAGAAGCATCCATCAGGCGTCATGCTACATGCATCGAATCAGCCACCAGGAATTCCTGCATCTTTTTCAACAGGAACCACCGCTCGTCTACCTATGGAAGCGGGGCCTTCGTGCACGCAACACTTGCACCAGTGAACATGATGTCACGAAATTGCTACGACTGCCAGCGCTTGACGAAGCACTAGACCTTATCCAACTGTCCTTGACAGGTCCAGTCACCACAGACGTCATGGAACAGCCCTTGACCTGTGACAGATGCTCAGAGATTTTTCCTTCCCTCAAGAGCTTGCACGCCCATCAAGCAAAAGCACATGCTATGCCCAGATTCAGTACCCATCACACCTTCAGGATACCCAGAGACAGCCATGATGGTTTCTCGACATGTAGCCATTGCCGTAAGACCATGGTCAATTTTGAAGAACTCAAACGTCACATAATTCATGCCAGATGTCCTCTCTTTGATCCAACCAAGGCTGATGACGCTACCTTGCAAGAGAAACGTCGGGCACTTGACCGTCACACTGATCCCTTGAACTGGGATGCCATTGCCGAAGACAAAGAGCTGTGTGATCATATGCGACTACACTGCGGCAAGTCATGTCCACAGATCAGAGAACACACTCGACATGCCCGACTAGACCATAGTGAGATTGCTACCACTGCCTTGGAAAGGCATCGAGCCTGGACTGCACAGCACACGGACTCACCATGTCCATTGTGTCACACTGCCTTCAGACAGACGCACTCCTGTCCCGTACGCCTCCAGGTGGCACTGCACCTTGAGGACCAAGGAGATATCCCCGTCGACCTGATCCCGCTCAACATCAAACCTGAAGTATGTCTACACTGTGCCAAACCTTTTGGTACCCTCCTTGCACTGCAGCAACATGTTCAGACATGCCATAGAACCTACAGTTGTGTCAGTGACTCCCAAGGAGGGACGGGTGTGTGTGCCCATTGTGGTGTGGACTGCAAGGAGCATTGGCACCTTAAAGCCCACATTGACAAGCACCGATGCTCCAACTTCAATGTTCACCGACAGGATCCAAATGCACTTCTCCTTGACAGGCGCCTTCATCTCCACCTGCTCCAAGGTGACATCCAGACGATCCTCTCGGCGCCGGAAGATGCCTTTCACCTGACACAGGTCTGCCTGCTTTGTATGCAACAGTTCAGGCGATCCATGGACATCCAACGACATCTCCAACAGAATCACGGTGAACACTTCAGGCAAGCGGATCCCTTTCATGCCCTCCTCCTTGAAGTCACCCAGACACATCCGACCTGGTGCAACGACTTCTACGACAAGAACTCCATGAGATATGGTCAAGCCCATCCACGTGTCAGGCCCTCAAAGAGCACTGCAGCATCTGTACTCATCAGAGCACGGACCTTGTGACACACCTGACCAACAGCCACAAGGCCTTCTTGCACGAATTTCCTGGTGTGTTTCGATATCTAGCCTTGAACCTGAAAAGACTTGGTCCAGCAGATCACTGTTGTGCATGCCAACACAGAGGGACAGCATATCAATTGGATGATGACACTCCATGGAAAATGCTGCAACATATGTGCCCAGTCTTGATCAATTGTGGCCTCCTGCTCTGTCGTACGTTGTTGCATCTTCGGCGGCAACATGGAGAACATGGAGGGGGTGGTACTGACAGAGGCCGACCGTCTCAGTCAGTTAGAGACCTCCTTAGGCGCCATGCTACGGAGCAGCAGAGAGCAGAGCAGGGAACAAAGCCAGGAGGCATCGCAGTCCCGAAAACGCCAGAAACCCACACGGGGGACAGGGAGAGATCCCCACGGCGCCCACCTGGACCAGATCACTCGAATGATGGCAGCGCTGATGATCCGGCGCGAAGACAGTCTGAACAGCTATCAATGTCAGGACAGCTACATCATTCACTTCAACCGGACAGCAAATGGCCTGATCGACCACATGATCCAGGAAGCGAGCACATGGAACGAAAAGATGAAATCCAATGCAGTCGACCTCACGCCCTTGCGGATCCACCTAGCGATGGGACTCTCCCACCAGATGGTCCTTCGCTTCACCGAGTTTGGCAAAGCAGTACAGGATCCCAAGATCAAGCAGGGAGCTTTGTCGACCTATCTGCTGCTGGAGAACAACGTGTTCCCATATCTCAAATGGGATGCCCACCGCAAGATGACAGTCCCGGACAACCGGCCGGGCATTCCCATGAACGAGATGGAATCCCATCTTCACCAGTTGCAGGAGCTGACAAAGATCAAAGCAAACGTGATTCGCTTCCACTCCCTGCAGAACATGGGCAAAGCGATGGATGTAGTTCCATGGCGTCTTCAGGTCTCGATGCGGGGCCCGGCATTGAAGACCTTGATGGACAAACTGGCGGGGAACTCGATTTGGCTGCTGGTGTGTGCACGCGTGCGCCAACACACCCAACAATGCAGCCGGATAGCACAGGAGCTTCAGGACCTTTTGAAGAACTCCAATCGAGCATGATTCGTACCATGATGTCACAATGGCTTCAATCTACGGGATTCCTCAACGAAGGGGTGATGTGCTATGTCAACAGTTCAGTGGCCTGCACTTTGTGGGCCATTACACAGCAGAGCAGTTTTGTCCGTGAGCATCTTGGCCCCAACTACACGGCCATTTTGAAGCTCCTTCAAGGTCAGCATCCCATGAGCCTGACAGCTCAACCTGAGCTGCGGACCCTTTTCGATGAGTGGGGGGACACTCACAGGCCACAAGATGTTGCCGAATTCACCACAGCTCTGTTGTCCTGGTTGCAAGCACCGGGGATCAACCATGAGTGGCAGAGAGCTTTCTCGGCCGCTGATGGTTTTCATGTTGAAGATGGGGATTGCAATGCATACAACTTGCTTTGTATAGATGTGCTCAGTGAATTGGACGAGGAAAAACTAACGCTGGAATCCTTGTTGCCGACATGGCATGATGCATTGCACATGAAAGCTGCACTCTTGGATGACAGCCGTGTTCTCATCTTGCATGTCATGCGCACCTACCCGCTGATCCGAGGTCTCAGCATTGGCACCCAGCTCACATGGAGCACACACATCCAGATCCCCGTCTCTGAAGCCGACTACACACGCAGGTGGGAGTCATATGAGGTGATAGCTTTTGGATGCTACAGTGGAAGTGGCACGAACGGACACTGGAACTGTGTCCTCCGCAATGGCACTGACTGGATCCTCAGAGACGACAATCCAATGCCCAAGCGCCTGACCTCCATTCCCTTCCACTTGACGGAAACAGCCACGACCTTTTGGTTGACCCGCACAGATGAATGTCTCGCCCACCCGCCGTTGTGGACGCCTCGGTTCGATCCCTATGACAACCTGGCCATCCAAGCAATGTGCAAAGTGCTGCAGGACCGCTCGAGTCCTGGATTGTCAGACAGTGAGCTTTTGCCCTCACACCCTTCCAACCTGACCAACCGACGAAGAGGACTTCGAACTCCCAGATGATGATGACACCTCTCCGCAGCTTGACAGCCCACGGACCTCCGGCCTCACCACACGCCAAAGTGAGGCCTTAGAAAGAATCCTCGATCGA